TTTTCGCTGGCTTTTCTTTTTTGGCTGCTAAGTCCCGTCTTTTGCCTATTTTATCTCATCAGTAGTATGGATGAGATACTGGCTTTTGTTATTCTGGTAGAAGAAATGGTCATAAAAGTTAAAAGTATTAAGAAAAGCCATTAGAGCACATAAAACAAAAAAATGAATACATTTAATTTAATCAGCCCCAAAAAGAAACTCAAATGTTTACAAATTTCATTTGCATTACCAATCCTTACTTATTAATAGCCAAACCATTCCATGCCTCTAATTTTGAGAAAAGAGAGCTGTTTCAGTCTGCAGTGAAATACCAAAATAATTTTTCCATTCGTAATGAATGTTTCTGGGGCCTTTATTACATTGGTCTCAATGAGGCTGATAGTAAAACAAACAAATAATCAAACGCTAGCTGTGGAGAGAGAGAGAGAGAGAGAGCGAGACAGCGTATATACAGCATACATGACAAAGAATATAAAAATATTCAGAAAAGAGTTAAGAAAAGCAAAAACAAAAAGAAGAAATATGTTTCATGAGTAAAACTGAGAAAAGGAAGAACTTGACTTAAGTTCCACACATGTTAAGTTTGTGCAAGGTCCAGATGATATCACAGCTGGCTAATTCAGTGACCAAAGTATTGGCAAATTAAGATTAACACAGGCCTTTTACAGATGTGAGCCCTTCCCTGGAAGGAAAAAAAAAAAAATTATAGAATCTGTGGAGATGTGCCAATCATACATATAAGTAAAACACAGAATATCAACATTATCTTCAGTTTTCTCAAACTAGATCAATTTACAGAGAAAAGAATCACCCTCCCCCTCAAATTATGTATTTTCTTCCCATATTCAACTTCTCATGTTCTATGGGCCTAGTTCCATTCTAGCTCCCATTTTTATAAGAGAGACACATAACCTTTTATCGTGCGCATGGGGCCAATCAGTGTTGATGGAAGGGATGTTAGAAACCCAGGGGTCTGAGAGAAGTGCCTGGAGGAGGAACCGGCTCTCAGATGTGTTCTGCTTGGCCAGCACAGTGTGGAAGGGAGAAGAAAAGGAAAGAAATTCCAATGTTTTTAGAAAAAAGCATAAGCTGCCCAATTTGGCCATAAGCCTCACCATTCCCTAGTGTCTTCCACAGAGGCCATCACACATTTTGTCACCTGTCACCTCGTCCAAATGTTTCACTTTACTGACGAGGAAACAAGAATCCAAGAACAGTTTACTGACTGCCTCAGGTGACACCGATAGTTATTGGCAAAACCACAGTAAGACTTCAGTGACCCGGCTCCTGCTTCCACATTCTCCTCTGACTCCACTAGACTCTTACGCAAATTCAATCTAGAGCCCAGAATGCCAACCTGTTGAAAGAAAATGAGGAACCAGTATCTAAAATGCTGGTTAATGGCTAAAATATGGAAAAGGTTGTATTCTTGTCACAGTTCAAGTTTGTTCCATATTTCTTTATGCTCACCTAACCAAAGGTGGTCAGGACCTACGTGAATAGGTGAGTCATGAATGCAGTGCTGTTGACACAACTGTACCCACAGCTAACACTGCAGCAATGGCCTAGACATCATCGTGTCATTAAGGCTGGGACACTGCTCTTCTAACAAGTTCTCTCCTTCTTTCTACTACCATAGCACTACATTCAGGGTACAGGACTGAAAACAGCCTGGATTCCCTGTTAAATTGGTTTTTCTGACCCTTTCTTGGCTACGTACTAGTTATTTTATATCCTTGTGGCCTTGTACAATGAGAGATTTCAATCAGATTTCAATGAGAGAAGAGCTATATGCTACTCTCCGCAGTTCCTAAGACAATCCTCAGTCCTTCTGTAGGTCTTGAATGCTAGCTGCCTATATTAACCACAAAGGGGATGAACACCTAGCCATACTGCCAGGTGACCTCCCAAGTCACTTTCACTTCTACATTAAGCTCTGTGATTCTCAGGGTACATGGGATATGTCCACTTTTCCCCACTCTGGAGACTTTCAGATCACCTACTGTGAAGCAATAATATTATAGATCTGAGGGGCAATGAGGCCTTCTAGTTTTTCTGTCAGAATGCTTACTCTGAAGGACAGTCACTAAATCTCTCTAACTTCTTGCAGTGGGGGCACAGACAGACAAGCCAAAGCCAGAGATCCCTTTAGAGAGGATAAAGAGGGGTCACATCTGGGAAGCCTAAGGAAAAGGATGAGGGGAGTGTGGAGTCTGCAAACAGGTTCCCTCCTTCCATGGCTGCTCTAAGATCACAGGTCAAGGACAGGCAAGAATCCCACTCAAGATTCATAAGAAAGAAAGCAGGTTGACTCTGCCTTTCAAATGAGAACTTCAAATTCTTAATATACTATAATAGTCCCTATAATTACATTTAAAGCAAAGAACTGAGGAAAAGCTATGAAAATGAGGGATTATCATAGAAAATTGTGAAAGCATTTTGCGTTTTTATATGGCTACTTCCTGGCTGAATATAATTGAATGGATATTAATAACGATTACATGTACAGTTATTTAGGAACCAGAGAAATAACATGTGAGGAACGACCAAGAATGCTTATGAGCCTTTCCTTAAGCACAAACAAGGCAAAACATTTTGGGGACATAATAGCAGATAAACAAAGACAAACAAAGCAAGAAAACCAAAACAAAATAAGACAGAAGTACTTAAAATTACCTTTTATCTGATTGTATAGTAACAGAATTCTCAAGTTATTAAGCACAAACACTGAAAATAATGAAGTTCCACGTGTAAAATAATGCCACTGTACTTTGTTTATTCAGAAGCACAAATTTTTATATGTGTGAAGCAAAGAACTTCTATATGTGTTTTAACTCAGGATTGGTTGTTTCCTTCCATGTGCTATAATTTTTTTAAAGTTTATTTATTTTGGGGGTGGGGGCAGAAAGAGACAGAGAAAGAGAATCCCAAGTAGGCACTGTGCTGTCAGCAGAGAGCCCAACACAGGGCTGTGAGATGATGACTTGAGCCAAAATCGAGAGTCGGATACTTAACTGTCTGAGACACCCAGGTGCCCCCATAAGCTGTTATATAAACCAAATAAAGAACAAAGTTAAAATGCTACTAAATAAATAATAAAATAAGTCATGAAAACCCAGGAAAAATTTCAGGATCCATTTCCTGATTTGTTGTTAAAACCATCACTTAAAAAAAAACCTTTAACTTTTTTCTCTTCTTTATGTTTGCTTCTGATTATAAATGTTCTTTACTATCACACTACATTTATAATTTATCTCTAAATGTATCATCTTTGAATGAAAACTCCCCACTCTATATAATTACTGAAAGCAGTATTAGTTTGAAATTAACTTTATTGCATTAAAATGCCTAAAATTAAGCCCCCATTGCTTACATAAAGGTTCAAAGTAAGGCAAGAGGAAGAGCAGCATTAGCAGAAACTTATAACAGAAAACAAATTGTTTTCACCAACCTCAAAAAATCACTCATTATCATTGTGCACAGTACTTTTCTTGCTTTCAAATGAGAAGTTAAAAGTAGTTATTTCTGTATCTAACAGCTCTTGAAATACCAGTAGGCTGATGAAAACATTCATCAGGACCAATTATTTTACTCATGCAGTTTGAGCATGAAGAATATTGACAGTTTGTAACACGTTGACAGATGGAAACAATACATAATAACCCTTACAAAATCTAGAGTTACTAGAAGGTAAACTTTCTAGTCTCTTCGAAAAATCTTCACTTTGCTGCAAGTCCCAATTATAAATAGCAGCTGACATTTAATGAGTGCTTATGTGCCAAGCAGTGATTTTTACCCTTATTCTCTGTCATAGTAATCTGTCATTATTTTATTTATTGTTTTTCCTCCCACTAATCCAGAGGCTCCATGGGGACAGGGACTCTGTCTACTTCTTTATTGTATCCCCATCGCTAGTATGCCTTACACATAGCAGGCACTGAATTGTTAAATGACTCATTGTTCTAAACACTTTAACTTTTTAAAACTATTGGTCATGGCCTAGAGTGTTAAGAAAATGCAAAAGAATAAGTGGAATGTATTACATTTAGTAGAATATTCTTCAATGAAACTTTTACATGTATATGTCGTATCTGTGTAACAGCAAAAAAGAAAAAGGCTGAAAATCACTGCTTTACGTGGATTATTTCATTTGCTCCTCACAATAACCCTGTAGACAATACCATAACTTCTACTTTAAAATAACAGAACTGAGGTTTCCAGATGGCATATATGATGTCCATGATGATAGAGCTATCTACAAGTAAGAACATCATTTCTATAAAGACTCACTCACAGGGTACCATACTAAGAAAACCTGAATTAACTAAGCAAGGTTTCAGTAATAGTAATTGTGCAATGATTAATAAAGAAAAAAAAAAAGGCTTTTAAGGGATTCAGTCCTGACTGAATTTAATATCTGGCTTAGCCACTAACCAGTTATGTGGACTTTGGACGAACTTAATCTCTTTGCACCTAGATTTCCCCATGTGTAAAAGAGGGGTATTCATCAAGTTGTTAAGTTTTAAATGACTTGATGTATGTAAATAGTTTAGACCACTAAATAGAAACTGTTCTGATTAAAATAATTAGTATTTCCTTTTTCTTGGTCCGAAAAATCACATTCAACCCATTGCACTACAGTTGGAATGTGTAAAAAATGTGAATAAGGAATTTACTGGATTAAAGAGCAAAGCATGGGAACTGGGCAAGTTTGGAATAGAGCCACCCAAGAGGTTCTGCTGGACTTGGGTGAGAAAGATGCTAAGTCAAGCTCAGGGAGTTGGTCCAGGTAACTATGGGAATCAAGGGAAACAACACTGCTTAACTGTAAAAACAAACACAAACGACTTCATCTTCCCTCAAGGATCACAGCAACATCCATCTTCCTCTGCATATTGGCTGGGGCCAATCCAAGGTGTCAGGAAATGCACCTGGGTCAGCTCCCGCCCAGTAGGGCCTGGTACCAAGGGGCTAGGGCGCAGAGGTTCGGCGCAACTCACCCCGGAGACTCCGTTGATACTGCCCTAGAATCTCCTCCAGGGTAGAGTTCTCCGGGGACTTCGCCATGCACAGACTCGGGGCCCAGAGATGGGAGTTACGTAGGGAAATGTCCGATGTCGCCCTTCGGGGAACCAGAGGCCTTGGCGCCGGAGTAGCACCCGCCAGCTTCCTGCCGCTGCTGTCACTGGGGAGCATGGAATCCCGGTCGGAGCTCGCTGGGGGCCCTTCCCACCCATTCGCCCTCACGGTTGATTTCGGGAGTTGTAGTCCGCAGACTGCGGGCCTGCAGTCACGAGGCTCCTAAAAGGCCCTTCCAACTGAACTACAATTCCCAGAGGTCATTGCGCCTCAAGGTTTGGCGGTTTGGCAGCCAGATCCGGTTGCCAAGAGACTGCCTGGAGGCTCCGCCCTTTTTCTGTAGCCCAGCCTGGCTCAGTCCTGCCTTTATCCCATCCTGCTGTTTGGACCACCCAATCGACAGAAAGCTCACCGAAGGTCTTGACTCTTCTAAATTTGCTGGCTTGCAGTTGGTCCTTGAAATTTCTCAAGGACACAAATAACAAGTTCTACACCCTTCAGCCGCGACATCTGCCAAAATGGCCAAATACATTCTCAAGAAAAAGAAGCTTTATATCTTCGAAACAACCTAGATTGTGAAAGCGGCTGACACTACAATTCCTAGCATGCCCCGCAACCCGACCTCCACTTGGAGTTGGCGCACTGCCCTCTGGGAACTGTAGTCCTTTTTAGTTGCGGTCCCGGCCTTACACCAGGGTCCTCTTCATTGTTCAAGCTGGTTTTTGGGAGCACGCCTGCGCAGTAGGCAGCTGGAGAAGCCTTTGGGTGAGACCCTCCACACAGCCCCTTTTCATTGTCTGCGTTTCGCGCCTGCGCAGTAAGAGATCGTTGGGACGGCCGGAGGAGGGGATAGGGCCGGGCTCCTCGCCCTTTCCCCAGGCGCCTGCGCACTGGGCGGCCGCTCTCTGCCGTTACCGCTATGTGTGGGGCGTGTGTGGAATAACGTTATTGCCCAGCGGAGCTCAGGGCCGGGAACTCGACCGCAGCGGCAGCGACGACGACGACAGCGGCGACGACGACGACGGGGTGGGGGGAGGACGGCGTGCGAGAGACTCACGGGACGCGACGCGCCCCGCCTCCCCCGTCCGGTCCCTCTCTCAGCGGTGAGGGGTAAGTGATGCGCTCAGCGGCTCGGCTGAGGCGCTGCCGATGCCGCCGCCGCCGCTTCCCCACATCCTCCGGGTTCGTGCAGCGGGGGCTCGGGGCGCGGCCCGCGGCGGCCGGGGTTGCTTTCTCAGGGAGCTCCAGACGAGGTAAGCCAAGACTTTCCATTTTCCTTCTCCTCTCCTCTAATTCTGTTCTTGCTCCCATCTGTTGTCCTTCACTCCAGGGTTGCTGCTTTTTCCTCCTTTTGAGATCAAGTGTTCATGACTGACCAGCTTTTTCCTTTCTGAGTGAGGGGAAATTTCTCTCTTCCCAGGTGCTGGCTGTAGCAGGCATGTTTATAGGGGTAGGTGGAGGAGGAGGAGATTGAGGATCGATGATGATAGGGAGAGCAGCAGAGATTTCTCCTGCCATTGCCATGCCCATACCCCCCGATCCGAGCAGCTAACAGTGCCGGCCCTTTCTGTGAGGTTGGTCTGGCGATGTGGGGCCGTTTGGGGGAGGTCAGGCGAGGAGCCCTCCGGACGCGGCTGGAGGGCGTGGAAGACGTGGAGTCACGCACCCTGCCAGGCGACTGCACCCGCGCTGGCTCTGGCTCTGTAGTAAACCCGGGGGAGGAGAGAGTGGCTTCCTGTCGGCTTCATTGTCCTAAGATTCAAATGTGGGGTTTGGGTATGCTTCCCGTCATTTTATGCATAACACAGGGCGGGAAGACGTGGGATTTGTATCCTAAGTTATAAAAACTCTGGGGTTTTTTTTTGGGGGGGATGGTGTTTAGCAGAGTTTTATTTATTTGAAGAATATAAGCCCCTGGAAGACAGGGACGGTGCCTGTCCAAGCATTGCCAAGGTGATAAATATAAAATTACCAGATGGCGAGGAAGAGTGGACTTAGAAAGGGCCTGACGACGAGGCTGTTGTGTAGCAGGGAAATGAACCAGCAGAATTGTTTTTTCGATGGGTGGGTAACGCATTCACGTTCCTAAGGGAATAGATGAGGCTTCATCTTTCCGTTTTGTTTTTTGAGCAGTCAAGACAAAAAATAGGCCTGCTACCTTTCTGTTCCTGATTTTGTTTATAAATACTTTTATTCCCTTAATGAAAATTCACTCGTTTGGGAAACATGTAGTGAGGCAGATGATAGGTGATTGAAAATGCATCTTTTAAAATGATTTGATCTTAAGCTTTCAATGCTTACAACCGTTTGCTGGCGTTAAAACCAGGGGAAGAAAGAATGAAGCAGGATGGGGAGGAGCAGGTGGAGGAATAATGGGAGAGGAGAGACTTACATTGTGAGTACTCTATGTAAATCTTCAATGATACAACCCTAGCTGGACATGCTTCAGGAATTTAGTAATTCAGCTCTGGAAATACTACATTGCAAGGGACAAATAATTTTGTATTTTTCTGCCGTTATTTTTGAAAAACTAAAACCAGGGCTGTTTTTCATCCTTCCTAACTTCGTAGATACGGTAGAATTTTGATGTTTTAAAACGCAATCTAAGTGCACTTGACACAGAGGAGGACCCTAAAACTTGGGAAGTTCGCTGATTTGTCTGTCCAAGCCTAACTGCTAATGAAAGGGCAGAGCCAAACCAAGATCTGTGCCTGCAGAGTGCTCTTTCAGTTTTGTCCCTTAGTCTGCCTACCCTGTGAAAATTTGTGGAAGGCTTCTCTACAGCTCCTTGAGTTGTCTTTGACGATCAAGTTCATTGATACCCTAGTTTGTATTAATCTTGTCCTTTTCTTCGTGATGTAAAAATAGTAATTCTGCTGAAGTGGAGCTTTAGTTTTATAAATTAACTCATGATGTAAGGAAAGATGCCCTACCAGGGGGTTTTCATAAAAACAAACTCTTGGAAGCTTTTCCCTACTACTTGTTAGTAACCACATTTTAATAGCATTTCCTAACATTCAGCATTAGTTGATAGCGTGATCAACTCTGTAAGCTGTTAAAAATAAAATTGCCAGGTAACAAGAACCTGTGAAGTTCATTTTTCTCTTCTATTAATGAATTATATTATTTGCAACTTGCCTTTTGAGAAAAAAATCTTTGTTGAACTTTTTAATCAAAATTAAATTTGTGTGTTTTCATTGAGCTGGTTTTCACACAAAGTGCTTTTTTGCTTTATAAACTTTTAAATTTTACATTGCATTTCAACCGACTTTTAAAAAAGAATTTAGTAATAGGCCTTTTAAATTTTGCTTACTTAAAAATAATCTATTGTTAAATGCAGCACGGGGAATTATATTAAGTGAAACTTTAAATGTATTTTACTGGTAAATTTCGCTGTTGTCAATTACTTTGTATGGAAATAAATAACCATCTGTGTTTTCTATCTTAGCATTAAAATAATTAAATTTATACTACAAAATTATACATTATGCCCATTGATGCAGATATCAAAGTGTATTTAAAAATCCTATGCTCAGTGATCTGTTTTCTTTATTTCAAGTATCTGTTTCCTTTCATCACTGAAGAAAAAACTAGTTTTATTGTTGCATCTGATAGCAATCAGATATCACTCATCTGGTACTCAGCACTGTATGTTTAACCTTGTTAACATGTTTTTTTATTCAACAAAATTCTCCTGTAAAATAATTTTTACTATTTTAATTAATGAATGATTTTCTCGAATGATTTTGTTCTCTATCATGAACGTTGGGGTTTCAAGGAGTGTCCTAATAAATACTTAACAGACAGCAGTGTACTAAATTGCCAGCTAAAATATCTGTACAGTTGCAAATTATTATGGAAGTGTAAGAATAACAAAAGAGCAATTAGATACCATCTGAAAAATCCTTGGTGGGTAGGTAATATTGAGAACATCACGTGTTGATGTGTTTCAGTAAGAATAATGAGTTTCTTATGGAGAGAAACCTCAGACCATCTTTATTCCATAAACTTCGGTTAATAACCAAGATTTCTAGTAATCAACTACCCTTGTTGAAGTGGGATTTAATTTATTGACTCAAATATTTCTTGAGGGAAGTGCTCAGCAATGAGTTAGTCGCTGTGGGCAATACAAAAGAATAAGAAGACATCTGTTTGGTAGTAGAGTTGATTAAACTAGGTAGATATATAGTCTAGCTGAAATGATTATGCAACAGTATATCTATTTCGTAAAAAGTTTTTTTGGCTAAAATGAATGATATGGTCAATGTATACCAATGATAAAGCCCTCTTTTATGTCAAACAAAGGTAGAGAGGAAACAAACAAAAGCAAAGCTAAAGAAAACCTTACAAAAATTACTTTAATCCATATAGGGATTGTACAGAACATGGCAGTGGAAAGAATCTCAAGCGTGCATTGCTTAGGTTTGAGAAACAGAATATGAAACATAGCAGAGAATAAGTCATTATTTCAGTGTATCAGTAAGAAATAATGTAGAAGACGTTACCCTTTGGGACATGATATTTGTTGAATAAATGACAACAACTTACCATGTATTGAGACCTACTAACTGCCAGGCAGCAGGTGTGTGTATGTGTATGTAATTAATGCAAGAGTCTTGTGTATAAGGTATAATTTTACACATTTAAATCTGAGAATATTTGAAGCCCAGAGTTAGTGATAATTTTGCCTCTGTGTCACACATTACTAAGTGGTAGAGCCTATAACTGAACCTTTGTCTTTTTAACAAAAGCCTAGATTTTCACTCATCCTTTTTGGTAAATTAAAAAAGCAAAATTTACTCTTTTCTGATTCACAAATTTTTAGAATTAGAGGAGACTTTAGAGTCATCTGGTACAGTGTACCTCCTACTACAAATATGTCTGAGACTTTTATTGAGTCAGCTTCTCCAAGAACAACACTTCCACGAACAATGAGGCATAAGATGTCTCATTTAGCTTTTGGAAAGAGTAATAGGAAGGTCTTAATTAGAGCCGGTATCTGCTTTCCTGTGTAACTTCTCCCCATTGGTTGTAGTTTTGTCTTAAGTGTAGGCCACAGTAAGGTTTTTCTCTACCAGGTCTTCTCTTTTCTTGTTAAATACTACAACCCTAACAACTTCATGTGATGCTGTTCCCTCTACCTTTCTCATCTCTGTCAACTA